TAGAATTATGACGCTTGAATCATGTAAACTGCGCTCCCCCACTTCTTCACACTTTGTGGCGCGGCCGCGTCCCAAAGCGTGAAGAAAGTGGGGGAGCCTGTGAACTCGCGTGTGCACAAAAAAAAACGGAACCCGATTTTCCGAAGAGCTGAACATTTGCGATGTTCTAAAAAATTTTTAGAAAGATGAATATTTGAAGATTTTAAATGTTTGTATCTCATGAGATCCTCCTGAACAAAGATATAGCCTTCAAAATGAATATCGTAACCTAACTACATGGTTCAAAAAAGTTTATTTGAAAGTATAGTTTAAGTTTAAAAAAATTTGGGAGTTACTCGGTACTCGGTAAAAAAATAAAAACTCGGTAGGTTCTGAAAGTAGAAATCTCGTGATTACTATCATGTATTGGTTTACGCAAAAATTTGGAAATTCCTTCTATTTAATGAATAAAACTTCATGTTGCCTCGATTCCCTCCTCTGAGCGAGACAAAGCGCGCGGATTGACCACGGTCCACCACTTCTCCATGTCGGTGACTCCATCGATGATGGGCATTAAAATATGTAAAAAGAAACAATACAGAGGTGGTCGTACTGGTACCGCCGAAAGGCGTGGGGTCGTAAAAATTCTGATATATGCACAACGCACAGTTGCCCCTGCTTGGACGGCTCCCTCCAGAACAGGGACAGCTGGACCTCGAAGAATACAACCCGTACCTTTCAAACATGTCGCGGGTTTTGGGGTTTTGACGGCCTGAGTGGCTTCGGAGGTCCGAGATTAGGTGGTAGTTAGAGAATGGGATCTATTGAGTAGGGTGGATGGGAAATGGATGGAAAAAAATATAATAATACCATCAGCGGCTACTTCATCCTTCGTCGCCCTTACAATGGGTGGTTTAGCATTACCATGCTGGTAGGTAAACATTGGCCTGCTTTTTCTTAAAGGAATCTTGCGCGGAAAAATCATGATTCTATTTCAGCCATAAATCACTGGCTTGAGACTCATTATCCACGATAATAGTGAAAAGAACTGAAGTATTGCTTTCGTTTTGATTAGAAATTCGAAAACTCGAAAAGGCTGCTACGCGTTCGAATTGCCCACGGACGTCTTTCACGAATGCTGGCGACGGGGATGCTCAAACTTGGTTCTTGGAGTGCATTCACTAGAAGCTCTTTCTGGCCTTCTGCTTCGTTGCATTCACATCTTACACTTCTACTCCATCCTATTCCATCGATCGATTTGTCTCCACTCTCCGAAATCGCGCGCTTTAACCCGTAGCCGGCCAAACGCCGTCTTCTTTCCATGCCTCGCCTGGCTCTGCCTCCTGGTCCTTCGATGGTCCATAACGTGTAGTTTTTGTACGTTTGTTTCTCTTCAGAAACCGAATCTTCATGCGTGAAACTTTGTGTGCTATTTCCAGTGATCACAACTGACATATTCATGTTAGGAAAGAGTGCAAGAATTTTCCGCGCAAGATTCCTTTAAGTTCAGGAGATGAGGCCTCCAGCTTCAGCATATGAACAATTTAGCGAATTTAGCGTCAGCGGCCTCCAGGTGTCAGGTGCAATACTCCACGCGACACCAGATTCATTGCATTTCCTTCCCACATGCTTCAACTTTCAAGACGCTTTCTGCCTGGGCTCCTTTGCCTATTCATTGATCGCGACCGACAGCTAAAGAGTCTTTGATGAATCTGTCCCCACTTGCCCGAAGCATGTCCGAATCTATCGTACTGCACAATGCTATTGCCAACAGAATAACCGCCTTCCTTGAACTGGGCTAGCTAAGTGTAGATTGTCTTGTGAGTGGGTGCATCAGTGTCATAAATGTACTGCAAGTAGGACTCGTCAGACATGAGACCAAAAGAATAGAATATCATGACCTTGCGCACGTGGTACTATAGACGACATCAATTCCGAAGCATGTTAGCCCAGTTTCAAGAGACGTCAAGGATGATTCTTATAGAGCGCTTCTTCCTTCAACAAGACTTTCGAATTTACTGGGTACGTAATGTTGGCGAGAAACAAAAACCATCCCGAGCAAAACAAAACAAACGAAAAAGTTCGAATTTATCAACCTAGTAGAATCAAAAACCCAAAAGCATCTGTCAATTCTGAGCGGCTCATTATCATGAAAGGTGATTTTAACCACCCTAATTTCCGGTAGATAAGCCCGCGCCGATATCACGTAAAAACACCTCCGCTGGTGCAGTGCACTTGCGTACATCTAGAGACAACCGTAACTTGCCCATAGGGGTAATTCGATATGCTGATTACGAAAACGACATTCATTTTTAGCGGTGGCGCCATCTTGTTACGACACCTGTTTCCACCAAACTTGATGTCAGTCCGTATAGGGGTCATTTGGTGTCCTGATTACGAATACGGGCACTATTGCACTATTACAACCCCAGTGGGGGTGAGATGGGTCAAAAAATAATTTTCGCTGAAACTTCTGCTATGGGGGTTATCGAGGGTCCTGATCACGAATATGACATCCATTTTTGGCGCTGGCGCCAAATTGGCGCCATTGGCGCCACAACTGATTATCACCAAATTCGCTGTAAACTTCTGTATAGGGGTTATTTGGGGCCTGATCACGAATATCGTGCTGTTTACGCATATTTTCTTTTTTTCTAAGCTTTCTCACCTACGGCGCCTAAGACTAAGCTTAGATGGGGGGGGAGTGAAAAATGAATATCATATTCGTGATGAGGACCCTCGATAACCCCCATAGCCGAAATTTCAGCGAAAATTATTTTTTGACCCATCTTACCGCTCCTGGGATTGTAATAGTACAATAGTGCCCGAATATGAGATTCACTGTCGACGCTGGCGGTACTTGGCGCCTATTTTCTGCTCGTCTGCGCTCTCCAACCGAGAAATATGCGTTGAACAACGTTAATGCCAAAAACGAATGTCATATTCGTAATCAGGGCACCAAATAACCCCTATACAGAAGTTTACACCGATTTTGGTGAAAACAAGGGTCGTGACAAGGTGACGCCAACTGGAGCCAGATGGCGCCACCTTGTCTTTTTAACCCATTCGTGACACCGGTGGCTGACAAAGATCTCACTTGGACAATGGTAGTGGCTGCCGTGTTTCAAATGGAATTTGGAAAGTTTTCTTTCCTGAAAAGAATCTTCATACCCTCATTCATCTACGCCAGCCCTGGGCAGAGGAAATCTCCATCCACTCAAATTTTATTGAAGAAAAATCTCCTGACTCTCCTGCTAATGCGCAAACCGGCGCGGTCGCGAATGGGTTAAATTTACCCGCACAGTTCGCGGGCACTGTGGACTCGTTCGCGCTCGCCGCGGCCGCGCCCCAAATCGTGAAAAAAGTGGGGGAGCCGTACGGGAGTGCACTGCACCAACGGAGGTGTTTTTACGTGATATTAGCGCGGGCATATCTACCAGAAATTAGGGTAGTTTTATTGCGAAAAGGCATCTCAAAAGATCATGCACTGTGGTTAGGAAAAGAGATAAAATATCGAATAATCCAAACAAACTGGCCAATTTTCTATTGCTAAAAAAGCATTCTACAAAAATCCTCTCGAAAAAAAATACAACGTATTTCAAGCCTTGCAT